AAGAAAGAAAGAAAGAAAGAAAGAAAGAAAGAAAGAAAGAAAGAAAGGAAGAAAGATCCGGCAGCAGCAGAGATAAGGTGACATGGCCAGCTGACTTGCTGCGAGGCATATTTGTAGCTGACAGGCTCTGAATGAACTTGGAGCCCAACATATAGACAGATATGATAGATAGATAGATAGATGATAGATAGATAGATAGATAGATAGATAGATAGATAGATAGATAGATAGATAGATACCAGTGGTGGGATTCAATTTTTTTTACCACCGGTTCTGTGGGCGTGGCTTGGTGTGGCATGGTGGGCGTGGCAGGGGAAAGATATTGCAAAATCTCCATTCCCGCCCCACTCCAGGGGAAGGTTACTGCAAAATCCCATTCTCTCCCCAGCCCACTGACCTGCTTTCCAGCTCCGTTCTCCTGCGCAGGGCAACAAAAGAAGACCCAGCCGATCAGCTGGGACTCGGGAGGCAGAGAATAGATGGGGGAAGGAACAGGCAGAGGTGGTATTTGCCGGTTCTCAAACTAGTCAATATTTCCACTACCGGTTCCCAAGAACTGGTCAGAACCTTCTGAATACCACCTCTAGTAGATATGATAAATATAAACAGATACAATAAATAGATATTTAGATATTTAGATAGATAGATAGATAGATAGATAGATAGATAGATAGATAGATAGATAGATAGATAGATAGATAGATAGATACCATGTTTCTCATAAAATAAGGCAGGGTCTTATTTTTTTTGAGCCCCCCAAAAACAGCTAGGACATCTTTTCGGGGGTGACTTAATTTCCTCCCCCACATGCACCCCAACCTAGAGCGCCGATGGAAGCGCACTCACCTCTCCACAAGGCTGCTTCTATCGGCCAATGGAAGCTCCCCGAAGGCAGAGTCACCAGCCGCTTCTATCGGCCAGTAGAAGCGGCGTCATGGAGAGGTGAGTGCGGCATGGGGCGCTCTAGGTGGGGGTGTGCGTGGGGGAGGAAATCTATCAGTTGGTAGAAGCGCCCTCGTGGCGAGCGCCCAAACGCACTCCCCTCGCCACGAAGCCATTTCTATCAGCCGATGGAAGCTCTCCGAAGGCAGAGTCACCAGCTGCTTCAGGGCGAGGCATTGCTGCCCGTGGAGTGCTCCTGACAGGAG